ACACATATACACTCTAGATCCAAACGAGAGACCCCTATTCGAGGGAGTTTCGACCCCCATGTGTATATTGATGCCATAGGTGTGCCAAGGGGGGTGCCTAACGAATTTAAAGCAAGAGATGAAGTGGCTGCAGGGTTTGAGTCCCTAATCCCAATGATAACTGCTAACAAGAATGTCAATTGGATTAACTATATCTATTATAATCAGCAACGCTTTGTCAACTACACAAGGGATGCCCTACAGGGCCTGGCAGAGCAACTACAAGCCACTACCCAAATGACATTTCAGAACAGAATGGCCCTAGATATGATTCTAGCCGAAAAAGGGGGAGTATGTAAAATCCTCCCAGAGACCATGACATGCTGCACATACATTCCAGACAACACGGGGCCCAATGGTAAAGTGACTATGGCCATAGAAAAGCTAGATAGTCTTGCAGACGAATTAAAGAAGAATTCGGGAGCCACTGACATATGGGACAAATGGTTTGGGTGGATGAATGGCTGGCAAAAGACCCTCTTTCAGGTAGGGACAGCTGTTCTCATGGTATTCATTATCTTTTTGTTCTCAGCCTGTTGTATACTCCCCTGTATACAGAAATATCTGCAAAAAGCGGTAGATAAGACTGTAGATAATGTGACCCCTACCTTCATACATCAGGATATCACAGACCTTGAAGATGACACCCCACATACACCCCTACAAACACATCAGTTTAAACAGACAACTGCTTTTTTGTAGGGATAGAGTAGGGAAAGCGTCTGTCTTGACAGGTGAGTCTCACGTGTGGAGATGTAGTGGGTTAGCCACTGCGGGATACCCGCGGAGTGAAGTGTTCGATGCTTGTCAAGGCAGATAGGTTGCGGGCAACTAGGGACATATTAGGGACAGCAGCAGTTGTAATGGTAAATAGCCATTTTAGGGGGGACTGTTGTGGAAATAAGGTCTACACATATTTCCTGGTTAAAGGAAAATGTCTATTTACTCATTTTACAATATATATATATATCTCACATATAAAGCTAAGTACACATATTTCAATCAAGATGGCTGCTAGAAGCTTCTAACCCCTCCTTCCCCTCCCTTTTTAAACATCGACTAACTACCTCGTGTAACAAGATGGCGCCGGAAAACCGTGGGAGACCCTCATGGTCCCGGTGACATCACCTGCAGTAGGCAGAGCATTAGAGCAACCACTTAACACCTAACCAATTATTGATGTATTATTCCATGTTATCTCTGACAATGCATATGATGTAATTTTGCTTTAAAAGGGACTTGCCGTCCCCTCTGAATAAACTTTCCTCAAGTTATTCAACAACCTAGAACCTGTGTCTGGTGTGAATTACTTCAGGGAGCGTGCACGCATAGTTTCATTGATTTGGCCAGGGGCAGATACACAAAGAAATAATCAATACTTTAATTGATTTTTCCACTTCAGTATAAAAGTCCAAAATTAAGTGAGGAAGAATTTTGGACTTTTATACAAGACTGGTTTTATAGTTTATAGTTCCACTACAAATACACTGCATCACCTACACAAACTGGTATCCCAATACACTACATACCATAAGCACACACATTAGATCCCCTACACACTCCACTCCCTGTGAGCGAACTCATGGGTGGAACACGTAGGTGGACTTTTAGGTGGGCCTTATAGGCATACTAACCGTCAGGCCCTGGGACCCAGACCTTGAGCTGTTTAAGGGGCCCCTAAAAATGGAGCTGCTTCCCATTCTACTAGAACTTTGAATTTTGTGACCACAGTTACAAACAGCCTTCAGAGATCCTCTTCTACACCAGACCAGTGGAGCCAAACCGCAGCCCGTCGTCATCCTCATCTTGTTGTAAGTAGGCAATCTAGTATATTATTAGTGACACTAATCTATAATTTACCTCACATTAAAGGGACACTATAGCACCGGCTCTGATGCTGGGCAGGTGCACCAGTCTACTGGTGACCCACAGGAGGGGATTGCACTGCACTCTCCTCCTGCCCAGACCTGTCTTTACCGCAGTGCAAGTGCCCTCTGCCCCTAATTTACAGTGGCTCACACTCACAGCAAGCAGTGCCTGGAGCCCTTTGCAGCGATGGGAACTAAGAGGTTCTGCGGCAGGTGGCCGTCCTGCAAGCATTACAGTAAACAGCTGTTCCCCATGCAGCCGCAGGTGGCGCTGTGCTGGGAGAATGTGATTACTCTTCACTTCCTCCCAGCCTACAGCGCAGCGCATGGGAGAGGGAGAGGAGGAGGCATGATTTAATCTTACATAAATCCATTAAGCAAATCTTTGGGTGGAACAGCTCTGTTTGCACAGTTTATTGGTGTTTACTCTGATGTCTGTATTAATATTGAGGGATTTCTAAGTAGTAACATCAGTATGTGTCAGCAGGGCCAGCCGTTGGGGTGTGCAAGCTGTGCGGTCACACAGAGTGCCATGACAACAGAGGCGCCCGGCGGCCAACACAGCTCACAATCAATTTAAATGATTCGCTGGTGGTCCACTGGTGCGCACCAGCAGTAGGTGCAGTCAGATTATATCCTCTCCCTCGTGGTTTCGGTGCTCAGTTAGTGAGTCAGAGCACACGCTCAGAGATTCTCAGCCTGTGCTCTGACAACACTGAAAGTCAGAGCCGTGAAGGAGCGGGTATGGCAAAGAGCTACTGATTAGCATAACATCAATATCCGTTATAAAACCAGGTGGGCATGGATGGTGATTTGGTGGTGCAATGGGCCACTTGACTGGTTTTGCCCCCCAGGCCTAAGGCTGCCAGCCCTCCCCTGTCCCTATGCATATTTTAATATATTGAGGGTTTTTTTTGTTTCACTCCAGTGGTCAGATGGGCTTACACCTAACGGCGATTGGAATGAAACAATCCCCCCCCCCAATTATATTATTATAATATTAAAATATGCATAGGGATTTGGGAAAGTGTGCAGGTAACTTTTTTCTTTGTTTTTTATTATATGTTCATTATTTGTCTGTATACCTTCTTTTCTGCACTATATAAAGGTGCTATACAAATACCAAATAACAATAATAGAAAAAAAACACCTGGAGTACAGGATGCATATGCGCTGTGCAAAAATACAAATAGGTTCTGCAGCATTAATAAAATAAAACCAGCTAGGAAAACTGGAAATTGTCTGACAATACACAGACCTGAAAAAAATTCCAATATCTGTTTATTTTGTTCTCCCTGTTGTTTTCCCTCAATTTTCAGTTTAATGAATAAAACCCAATAAAAAATTATTACTGACGCTGAGGTAACTTTTTCGCGTATTCAATCTATGGAAAAGTTGATAGCATTTCTGTAGCTCCTAGGAAATTCATATTAACTCGTCATTGCGTTACTAAATTCTGCAGTTTAAAGGACCACTATAGTGCCAGGAAAACATATAGTGCCCTGAGGGTGCCCCCACCCTCAGGGTCCCACTCCCGTGGTGCTGAAGGGGGAGGAAGGGGTTAAACGTACCTCTTTCTCCAGCGCCAGGCGGGGAGCTCTCCTCCTCCTCTCCTCCTCCTCTTCGGCTGAATGCGCATGCGCGGCAGGACCTGCGCGCCCATTCAGCCAGTTCATAGGAAAGCATTTTCAATGTGTGATTTTCACAGTGAGAAGCACGCAAGCGCCTCTAGCGGCTGTCAATGAGACAGCCACTAGAGGCTGGATTAACCCTATTATAAACATAGCAGTTTCTCTGAAACTGCTATGTTTATTTAAAAAAGGGTTAACCCTAGATGGACCTGGCACCCAGACCACTTCATTAAGCTGAAGTGGTCTGGGTGCCTAGAGTGGTCCTTTAAGGAAGTATTAGTTTTTAGAAAAAGTAGTAGATAGACTTCTATAGAAAAAAAGAAGAGAGTGTTCAAATTCAAGGTTGCACAACAGGTCATTCTGATGAACACAATCAAATTAAGTAAGATTTATTGGTAGACTTGATGGTACAAGTAGTTTATGTGTCTAAGTAACAATTTGTCAGGCCATACTTTAGGATAACAGTGTCCATTCTTTGCGGATCCCACAGGACAGTTACAGTTTGAGACTCGAACCGCTACTGACTCTCTTGCGGTTGTATAGTACGTGGTGTACCTTTCTTTATATGCGTAATTGCCACTGCAAGTTTCTGTCTATATATATAACACTGAAGCTCACTTTTTGTTCGTGCATTGGTTTTTTTTGTGAGAAAATATTGCTAAGTAAACTATAATAAGCATGTTTCTACCCCACTGACTCTTTTAAATATATTCAAACTCTAACAAAAATATCCATATTTAACAAAACAAAATATGCATGTTATTATAAAAAAAAGTAATAAAAAAAACCCATAAGCTGATTTCAGTTTAAACTACTATATGTGAAATTTGATTCCTTAAAATTTCACAGGCTAATGATGAAAGGTGAATATATACATTGTACACTCAGAGACATAGCGAGGGGGCAGGTGAGGCAATTGCCACAGAGCGCCAGTCTTTTCAGATGCCCAGCTGTTGGACTGAAATATTGATTATGTTCAAATGCATGTCTGCTTAAAATAAATACACTCTTTTGTTTATTTTGAAGTCCTATGTGTGCTTTCATTCACATTGGTGTAGCACTATGCTGGCACAGCGCATTATTGGGTTGGTATAGAATTTTTCCAGGGATGCTTTTCGTTCCCAGTCCAGTCCTGGCAGTGCAGCACCTGTGGCTGGGCCGTGCAGTTATAATTTCTAAAACATTGTTTTAATTTATTTTCCCAAGGAAGCAAGGAGGGAGATGTTGGGGGCTAGTGCAGCTGACCTCATTGTCCGGATACACAGGCAAAGTTAGCAGCTGGCCATTGGACCCTAGGGAAGCCACCCATCTGCACCAAAAAGGTAAGGAAATAAGAGTGTGGCTAAAATATGTAAATTGTTATTTATAAATGTGTGTTAATGTGTACCCAGTGCCATAGCAATGTGGGGCAGGGGGGTGGCGGTCTGCCCCGGGTGGCACGTTTTGGGTGTCGGAAAGGTCCCTGCTGACTCCCATAGTCCCTCCCACCCTCTGAGTAAGATCTGGCAGCGATCCTGCTCTGCTTGCCAGGTCTCCTCCATGCGGTCCAGTGAGTGAGGGGAAGAGGTGGGGCAAGAGCCATGGGAAGTTAGGTCACTTCCTGTGGCTCCTGTCCTGCAAGTGAGGAGAAAGATAAGCCTCGCAGAGACACCAGGTAAGGTCTTCCCTGCACAGCCCCTTGCGCACTGCACCATCACAGATCCCCTCTTCCCCTGCCTCTCCTGCACAGATCCCCTCTCCCCTGCACAGATCCCCTCCCTCCATAACAGCCCCCCTGCTTCCCCTGCACAGACCCTCTATCCCACTGCCTCCCTGACAGTCCCCCTCCCTCCCCTGCACAGATCCCCTCTTCCCCTGCCTCCCTAACAAGCCCCCTCCCTTCATAGATCCACTCTCCCCCTCCCTGCCTCCCCTGCACAGACCTTCTCTCCCCTGCCTCCCTGACGGTCCTCCTCCTTCCCCTGCACAGATCCCCTCTTCCCCTGCCTCCCTGACAGTCCCCCTCCTGCATAGATCCACTGCTCTCTGATTCCTTCCCTCCCGGCTGAGACCCTCCTCCCCCTCCCACTCCCTGCAGATCCACCCTCCCCTGGCTCCTGACTGGTCCCACTTCCTCCTGCACATATCCATTCTCCCCTGCCTCCCTGCACCAGACCCCCCTCCCCTGCTTGCCTCCCTGCTACCCCCTCCTGCACTCTCCCTCTCTGATAGTCCCCCTGCCTCCACTGCACATATCCTCTCTCCCCCTGCCTCCCTGACAGTCCTTCTCCCTGCATAGATTTACGTTCCCCCTGCCTCTCTGGCAGTCCCCCTCCCTCCCCTGCACAGATTCACTCTCTTCCTGACTCCCTGACAGTCCCCCTCCCTCACCTGCACAGATCCCCTCTCCCCCTCGCTTTCTGACAGTCCCCCGCCCTTCCCTGCACCGATCCCCGTTCCCCTGCCTCCCTGACAGTCCCTCTCCCTCCCCTTCACAGATCCCCTCTCCGTCTCCCTCTCTACCTTGACAGTTCTCCTCTGTACATACCCTCTTCCCCTCCCTCCCCTGCACAGCTCCCCTCTCCCCCTGCCTCCCTCCCTCCCCTGTAAAGATCCCCTCTTCTATTCATTCCTACCTACCCTGCACCGTCCCCTGCACAGATACTACTCCGTCCTTGCAGCTTCAACAGCCCCCCGCCACCACACCTTCCCTCCCTGTTAAAAAAGAAAAGTATATTTTTTTAAAATTTGTATATAAAATTAAATTTAATAAGCCTGTTTTCTTTCACACCAATAAAAAGTTAAATATACTGAAGCGCTTCAGTAGCAATTATTTAAAGGAACACTCTGCCCAAATGGGCAGATCCCCCTACCCCCCGACCAATAACATCACTGTTTAGTAGATATGCCCCTCATTGGGTGTATATCTTAAAAAAAGCTTGAAAAGGTTGTTTTGGGCTAGAGGCATTGAGTATTTAAAAGAGGTATGTCTGGTGCAGCCACAGATGTCCACAACTGCACCAGACATAATGTGGGTTGAGATAGGGGCAGCAAACTCTGGGGCAGGCCCGGGCGGCAAAAGCTCTTGCTACCCCACTGTGTGTACCTGGGTCAGTGTTCATAAGTGGTTGTGCATATCTGTGTGTGTAACGGTGTGTGTATCAGTGTTTCTGGTTATGTGTGTCAGTGTGTCTGTGTACCTGTTGTCTGCATGTGTAACTGTGTCAGTGTGTATGTATGTCTGTGTAACTGTACACACAAACATGTTTGTATTGTAAAACTATAGTGTTCCTTTAATCTATAATGTATATACACACATAAACACACTCTGACATAATTAATTATAGGGCTATACATTTGTTTCCAGGCTGCTTTGTATTCCCAGTCTTGCCCTACTAATCTGTGAACGTATTTGCTTAGCAGTTCGATTAGTATATTACCACTAGTACCAGGGGCGTATTAGCCGCGAGGCAAACAAGGCATTTGCCTTGGGCGGCATTTTTCAGGGGGCGGCAAAAAACGCCGCCCCCCAAATGCCCAAGGCAAATGTCTTGTTAGCCTCGCAGCTAACAGACATTCTGGGCGCTGGGCGGCAGTGGCTGCAGCGCTGGGCGGGCGGGTGGCCGGCGAGGGAGCTCTTCCCCTGAGCGCTCTGCTCAGCTCCCTCGCGCGCCGCCAGCAGAGTGAGGCTGGGAGCCGGGTTGATGACGTCATATTCCAGCTCCCAGCCTCACTCTGCTGGCGGCGCGCGAGGGAGCTTAGCAGAGCAGAGCGCTCAGGGGAAGAGCTCCCTCGGCGGCCGCCCTGCAGCCACTGGACCCCAGGGAGAGGAAGAACCCCCCCCAGCATTACCAAAGGTAAGGAGGCTGGGGGGGGTTAAATAAAAAAAACAAAAAAAAAACACTAGTGTGTGTGTGGATGTCTGTTAGTGTGTGTGTTAGTGTGTATGTATGTTAGTGTTAGTGTGTGTATGTTAGTGTGTGTGTGTGTTAGTGTGTATGTTAGTGTGTGTATGTATGTTAGTGTTAGTGTGTGTTAGTGTGTGTGTGTGTATGTTAGTGTGTGTGTATGTTAGTGTGTGTGTGTGTGGATGTCTGTTAGTGTGTGTGTATGTTAGTGTTTGTGTCTTAGTGTGTATGTTAGTGTGTGTATGTTAGTGTTAGTGTGTGTATGTTAGTGTTAGTGTGTGTATGTTAGTGTTAGTGTGTGTATGTTAGTGTTAGTGTGTGTATGTTAGTGTTTGTGTCTGTTAGTGTGTATGTTAGTGTGTGTATGTTAGTGTTAGTGTGTGTGTCTGTTAGTGTTAGTGTGTATGTTAATGTTAGTGTATGTATGTTAGTGTTAGTGTGTGTGTGTCTGTTAGTGTGGATGTCTGTTAGTGTGGATGTCTGTTAGTGTGGATGTCTGTTAGTGTGTGTGTTTGCCTGTTAGTGTGTGTGTGTGTTTGCCTGTGAGTGTGTGTGTCTGTTAGTGAGTGTGTGAGTGTGGGTCTGTTAGTGACTGTGTGTTTCTGTTAGCTAGTGAATGCGTATCTGTCAGTGAATGTGTGTGTGTGTATTTAGAAGGCGGAGCAGGGGGGAAGGTTGGGTGGCGGTTGCGCGGGTGGGGGCGGCGCGGGGGGGTGCCTGAGTTTTGTCCTGCCTAGGGCAGCACAAAACCAGGATACACCACTGACTAGTACTAAATGTGATAAAATAAGTAATTATTTGTTAATGTCTAATTTCTTTCCACTATACTAATGCACACCTCTCCCTTTGAGGTTTAATCACTAAAGCCCAAAGCGCAATTGAAAACTGAACTCCAAATTTCGGCTAAAATAGGCAAGCTATTACTACTGAGTTGAAGAATTTTTTTTCCAAATCAGTTATTTTAGTCTAAACGCCTACGTTTCTAAACTTAGTAACCTCTGAAGGGGAAGGAGAGGTCTCTAGGCTGCAGTTTGGCTCAGTACCAGCCAACTCCTCCTTTGTTTCACTTTACCCTTATTCTGGTTTATTGTTTTGCTTCAAGATTTCAAATCCTGTGCAGAGTTGGCCCACTGCAGCCAAGAACGAGCTTGTTTATAATCTTCTCACCATGGCAAAAGGCTATTAGTCAAAGTCACTCTTACTTTCATCCCAATTAAACATTTATCCATTTCAGTGATACAGTAATTATTAATACATTAGCTACCTAAAAAAAAGTGTGTTAGTCAAACAGTTTTGGATAGTTCATAAATATTTAAAAAAGTAAGTTGTTTACAATCTAAAAGAGATAACGTAGGTTGATCCCTTCTCACTAAAACCTTCATTTAAATTCTTCAACGTACAAAAGAAAACACATACCTTCCACTGTAACGCACTGCACTAATGCTCCCCTCAGTCCTCCTACTTTAGACAAATGTCTCTTCCAATATATATATATATATTCCATTATAATGTATCATTTCCACTTTCAAAGCAAATTTTTGGCAAACCGAATACAGTCGTGAAGGTCTTTAAACCTATAGTTTTAAAGGTTATATTGACATACTGCTATGATTTATGTGTTACAAATATGGAGGATCCGCTACTGCTAAACTAGGTCAGCCGTTATCTAAACTTTATCTAAACTATGTATAATGAATAACCCTGAGAAAAAAAAAGGTATCATCTGTTGTTGCGTGTCAATGTAACCCCGTGAGTGCCAGAGATATAACCAGTAACTTGTTTAAAATGATTTGTGTGGCACTTAAAGGATTATAAGAACCATTCAGGCTGGAGCTGACAAATCTTATATCCATGCTATTAGTGCATTATTGATGCATATTTTAATGTAGTATCTACATATATAAGAACCGCTAAATAAATTAATAAATAATGTTGGGGGAAAAAAACACATAACAAAGTGCTACTTTGCAAAGATTCTACTTTGCAGGGCCCCTTGCTATTTGTTGCTCACTCAGAAGTAACATGTACATTAACTGAACAATTTTCACCAGATTAGAGCAAGTAACAGCATGGTATTACAGTTACATCATGCATATTTATCAAGGTATCAGAAATGTGAATATGAATGTAACATGTCTATGTGCTTGGAGCTTCCATCCCTTTAATATCCAGTTAAAGGAACACTACAGGGTCAGGAACGTAAACCCTATAGTGTTAAAACCACCATCTAGCCCCCCTGGGCCACTCATGTCTCCATAAATATAGCAAAATCTTACTTGTATTCAAGCCTGAAGCTGTAGCTCTGCATGCTGTTTGCCTCAGAAAAACAAGCTGTCTGCTGACATCATCAGAAGTGGTAGCTTCTCCATAGGATTGGCTGAGACTGACAAAGAGGCAGATCAGGGGCAGAGCCAGCATGATTCAAACACAGCCCTGGCCAATCAGCATCTCCTCATAGAGATGGATTGAATCAATGAATGGAAAGTTCAGTGTCTGCATGCAGAGGGAGGAGACACTGAATGTTTAGATGCATTTTAGGCAGCCATGACCCAGAAAGGATCTCCAACATCTATCCAAGGAGTGGCCAGTGAAGTTATCACTAGGCTGTAATGTAAACACTGCATTTTCTCTGAAAAGATAGTGTTTACAGCAAAAAGCCTGAAGGGAATGATTCTACTCACCAGAACAAATTCAAAAAGCTGTAGTTGTTCTGGTGACTATAGTGTCCCTTTAATGTCAACATCAAAATTTTTAACAAACGATGTATTGAATTCTTTGG